TCTGTGTGTCTGTGTGTGTGTGTGTGTGTGTGTGTGTGTGTGTGTGTGTGTGTGTGGATTCTTACACTCTCTCTGTGTGTGTGTGTGTAGGCACTTGCTGGAGCTGCTGAGACGCACAGCTGTTCATGGAGAAAGTAACTCAATCCTCATTGTTGATCCACGAGGATCCGGTAAAACTATGGTACGAAGCATCAAGAGATGTACCCCCTTGCTGATGACTAGGGTTGCAAAAAGGTGGAAAATTTCCAGTAAATTTCTGAAATATTCCAGAAATTTGGAAAACTTTCCAGGAATTTTTTGGAATATTCCAGGGATTTTTGGAAAGTTTCTGGAAATATACTACCTGGAAATTTAAAATTTGCAACCCTACTGATGACTGACTCATCTTTTTTTTCTTTTTTTACTCATTTTGAGTAATAGATAAAAGTAAAATGAAAATTCTGTCATTATTTTCTCACCGTAAGGTCCATAATGGAACAAAAAAAGGGTAAGGAAATTCATAGGGAAAACCTTTTTCTTTAGACCACTTTTTAATGTCCAATTAACTTGTTTGAGTTTTTCTGACCCCATTGGCATATTTTTTTTTCTTTTTAAGCAGTCACTTCATTTTAATTTCCCAGAAAATAAGACTTTGCATCTCAGGTAAATGCATTTAAAAATGTTTAGAAATTTGTGCTGAAAAAAAAAAAACAAGACAAAATTGTGGAAGAAAGTAACTTCTGCAGTGTGCCAAATAAAGTAAATTTTTATGAAACTATGGCATAATTGTTTGTTGACCACTGGTTCTTTTCGTGCATCTCTGTCTGAAGCTGCTGGGTTGTGTCCTCCGAGAGCTCATGAGTCTGAAGGACAAAATCGCTCTGAAAGAAATCACGCGCCAGCTGCACCTGGAGAATGTCGTAGGAGACAAAGTGTTTGTGAGTTCCTGACGTTATTAGTGGAAGCATTTCTGCAGTTTTTAAGGTTTTTGAACTGAGAGGTGGTCTTGTGTTTTAGGGGAGCTTTGCAGAGAATCTGGCTTTTCTCCTGGAAGCTCTTAAGAAAGGTGAGGCTTTCTCAGTGTTATTATTTGTATACTATTATGTGTTTATACAGTTTTATACAGCATTTCTACTTTTTAATATTTTCATCCCTTAATATTTTATTTTATTTCAGCTTTACTTTCTAATTAATAAAAAATGCATCACCCTCTGCTTACAGTAACTCAGTTTATTTGTAGCTGATGTTGTCTTACTCTCTCTCTGTGGTGTTGTCAGGTGATAAGAGCAGCAGTCGTCCCGTGCTGTTCGTGTTGGATGAGTTTGATCTGTTCGCTCATCATAAGAACCAGACGCTGCTGTATAACCTGCTGGATGTGTCTCAGTCTGCGCAGACGCCTGTCGCTGTGGTGGGACTCACCTGCAGACTGGTGCGTCTGCTAGAAAAACACTACACAAACATCTCAGGACTGCCAACAACTTTTTTTTTTATCCTAAATTAATCTGTTATAAATGTTAATTTTATTTTTTGCAATTTAATGTCATCATTTCTTACATTTTTTTATATTCTAACTTAATTTAATATTCTAACTCTTTCCCAGTGCTCTCTTTTAAGCAGTGATGTACATTTTATGCAAAAATTATTCATTAAGGTTACGATATAACATGCAAATAAAAATGAAAAAAATAAATAAAATTGTGCATTGTGGCCTAAATATAATACTGACCATGTAAGGAACATATAAAAGGAAAAAAGTTGTAGTAATAAATAGCTTAAAATTTAAAGTTACTTTACTCAACAAAAAAAAAAAAAAAACTTATATGGCATATGTTTTTGTTAAATGTGTTTTTCATTGAAGCTGATTTTTACTAATGCAACATCAGTACTGATTAAAGTTCTCCATGCAAACTTCATGCAAAACCCCCTGAAATTTATTGTGCACTGTTTTATTGATTTATTTTCATGCATTGTTTGTTGTAACTCTAGTTCTCAACATTTATAGATGAGGAGGTGATATGAAACCACAGCTGATCCTTCTCGAATCATTGATTGTGGTGTGTTTGTGTGTTACAGGACGTGCTGGAGCTGCTGGAGAAGCGAGTGAAGTCTCGGTTCTCTCACAGACAGATCCATCTGTTCAGCTCGCTCTCGTTCAGTCAGTATGTGGATGTGGTTCGTGCTCAGCTCAGTTTGCCTCCAGACTTCCCAGATCCCAAATTCTCAGACGAGTGGAACCACAGCGCCACGGTACAAACGTCTTTCTGTGTTCGCAGACAAGTCATACACACAATCACTGTTTCTTACCTCCGTGTTTTCTGTGTTTCTAGAAATTATGTGAAGAGAAGTCAGTTGAGGAGATTTTGAAGAGACACTTTAACGCCAGTAAAGATTTCTGCGCTCTGCATTCACTGCTGGTATATTGTAATGAATTCATCTCGTAATCAGACCGCTGTTCGTCCCTTCTCGTGTGTAAGCGTGTGTGTGTGTGTATGTTGTAGTTTCTGGCTGTAAGTCGAGTGTCGGTCTCTCGTTCGACTCTGCGTGAGGCTGATCTTCTAGAGGCCAGTCGCTTGATTTCCGCTGATTCGAAAGCAAACGTCCTTCACGGTGAGAATCTGGAAACAGATTTTTACTACAGACATGATTTTAGCATCTCGTCTCTTTAAGATCTAAGTAACACATGTACACACTCATCTCTGATGCCCTGAATTGCCTGTTTTCCAGGTCTGTCTATTCTAGAGCTGTGTTTGGTTATTGCTATGAAGCATCTGAATGACACTTATGACGGAGAACCCTTCAATTTCCAGATGGTCCATAATGGTACGACATCCTTAAGCGCTCATGGAAAACCTGGACGTTTTAAAAAGCCTTTATGTGTGTAAATGTTCATCAGTGAATGCAAATACGTGCATCAGCTCATATGAATGTAATTCTCTCTGTCTCTCAGAGTTTAAGAAGTTCATTCAGAGGAAGTCTCACTCCATCCATAAGTTTGAGAAGCCTGTGGTGATGAAGGTCAGTCTGAGCTGCTCTTTTTCATGCATGTACTTTGCAGAGTCAAAAGTAACAACTTGTATATTATATTACATTATATTATATTATATTATTTTTATATTAATTTAAACAATTATTATCCAAAAATTATATTCATTTAGTAACATAAATATATCTTAGTGTAGGCTATATCTTTAGAGTTTTATAATTCATTATCTTCTTGTCGATCCACCAGTTCACATGTACAGCTGCGTGTTTTCTGCTTAAAAATAAGGGTCGTTTTTGGCTTTGGTCTAAACAGAGCAGAAGGGCTTATTGAAAAATGCAAATTCATTCTCTGCCAGCAGGTGGCGCTTTTCGGCAGGAATATAGCCGTTTCCCCGGTAATCGCAGTAAACAAAGCAGCACCTGACTTTGAAACTTGCAGCGCTCATAATGTCTACATTTTTAAGTTTTATTTTTTCTAGTGCTCACCTGTGTGTGTCTGTCTGTGTGTGTGTGTGTGTGTGTGTCTGTGCGTGCGTGTGCTTCTGTGTGTGTGTGTGCGTGTGTCTGTGTGTGTGTGTTTGTGTGTGTGTGTGTGTTTGTGAGTGTGTGCATGCGTGCGTGTGTGCCTGTGTGTGTGTGTGTCTGTGTGTGTTTGTCTGTCTGTGTGTGTGTGTTCAGGCGTTTGAGCATCTGCTGCAGCTGGAGCTGGTGCGTCCGGTGGACTCTGGATGTCACAATTCTTTTTTTTTTTTTTTATCCCGTGGCAGAAATGTGCTTCCATACAATGTGAACTTCATCAGAAACTATTTTAACAATAATTTTCAAATACTTTTATTATACATATAATTAACTGACCTTTTTTTGTCATTAATATTACGTTTTGAGTAATTATTTTTATCAGGAGACCTTTCCACCATTTTAGTCACGATAAAGTCTGTATCACAAGTTGGTTTATATTGAGCAATGAGTAAAAATTTTCATCCATTACCAATCTTGCATTTTTAGGTTATTTTAATGCCTAAATTTCGCCTAATTATGAGTTACATAAATTAATATATTGTATATTTTAATATATATTTTTTTGAATATTTAAGTATTTAACAGAGAAGGCATTAAACTACTTTATATATATATATATATAAACTTAAATTTTTTTATTTTAAATCTGTGTTTTTTAGGAAATGGCATACACAATTTTTGATGACCTTTTTGTATGGAATAAACACAGGCCTGAGAATATGTATTAAACTAAATAATAGTCAAAAATGATTTCATGTTGATTTAAAGTTGTTGTAAATAAGTTCATCAGCTCATCAGCATTCATTAACAAAAAAAAAAGAGTATAAAGAAAATTCTTAATATATTAAGTCTTAAAATATATTTCTTTTTAAAAAGAGAATCACATGCATAATCAGTGAGTTTGGGCCTGCAGACATCAAGACAATAAAAAGTTGTATAAAATACCCAGCAGTACAATCTTCTGGTATAATTTCTTTATAAACAACTGTTTTCGATTAGTGACACCAAAAAGAACAGAGCAACATCATGCTAGTCTAATAATTTAAAACCAACGATCATATTTACATTATTCATTTGCTGTACATGTGTGTGTTCGGGGGAATTACAGATTGAGCTGAAATGTCTTTTACAAACTTATTTCTCACCCAACACTTGGTTTGTCTGCTAACACATTCAGGGCAATAATAACCGGCGTTTGTTTTCACAGTACTGAGAGTTTGTCACATTATTAATGAAATAAATAGAAGCGGTTTAGACTCAGTATGCTACAGTTGCAATCGCTGCTGCATGTTGGTTGCATAATTGCTGTAAGAGCAGAAACCTGCGTCCCTGAATACTGCTGTAGTGCTTCAGAAAGAGATGGAGAGACGGAGATGAAGGAGAATGTGGCATTAGACAGATTTACAGCCCTGAAAGATGCCGTCATTAAAAGGGCTTTTTCAGCGTTTATTTATCCCACAAGGTCAACTCATAATGTTAGATGAGGGATTTTTGCTCCTGCAAACATCGTCTTTTCATGCAAAATGAGTGTTTGCTGTCAGTTCAATCTAGTTTTTAACTGCTCCATCCTTCAACAACAGCCTGTTTGTAAAGATGCATCAGATTGTGACTCATAAATCAATCTTAAATGGTTCAGATCAGACTGAAATGATCAGAGATTTTGTTTCTAACAGCACAAGCGTTCACACTCTTTGCTTTGATTATTTCTGCTGGTGTTCAGACTGTTTGATTTGGAAGCTTGTGTCAGACACGGGATAAAAATAAAGCGGATTGTGACTGATTTTATATCTCGCAAGTCTGACTTTTTTCTCACGAGTCTAAAGAAACTTCGGAGGAAAAAAAGTCAGAATTGTGAGATATAAACTGATAATTCTGTTTTTATTTCCCCTTTCAATTCTGAGTTTATCTCTCACAATATCAGGCTTTTTTTTCCAGAATTGCGAGATTATTCTGGAATTATTCTGGAATTTATGGCTGAAACAAAAAACAGAATTGTGAGAAAAAAGCAAAAATTGTGAGCTATAAACTCAGAAATGCAAGGTTTAACTCGGAATTGCAAGAAAACCTCAGAATTTATATCACGTCTGACTTTCTTCTCTGAATTGCAAAATAAAAAGTCTGAATTCTAATACATAAAAATAAATCCATATTGTGAGATAAAAAGTTGCAATTACCTTTTTAAAAATTTTCAAGCTTCTATAGTTTGACATGGAGACTCGGTGGCCCAAGTTTCTCAACACTAAATCTCTGTTAACATGTTAATGCACTGACGTTAATCTAGTTCACATCAGAAAGTTGATGTAGAGAACGAGTCGTTTCTGCAGTGTAGGGTCAAAATGACTTGCTGGATTATTCCTCATAGAAAGCCACCAAAAGATAAATATGAACAAAAACCCAATGTCTCAGGTGCAGTTTGATGAATATGGAGGCTCATTTTGCATATGATGTGTCACTATTTTGGAAAATTGTGTTGCAAGAATACAGTTGCATGAGTGGTAAACTGTCCGAATTGATCCAGCATTGGCAGACGCTAATATTGGACCCTGGTTTCTGTGATTTAGTGAAGCGAGCGTTGATTCCTCATGAAACGACCCCTTTAGAAAGGCTGCGATGAAATGAAGCAGAAATGCGAACGGCAGAAACGCTAGCGTGTGTTACAGCTACTCGTCTCGCCTCCGTAGCAGCTGTTCAGAAAAAAGCACGAGAAATCAAAATGAGGTATACCTGTTTAGGGAGGTTTATGGTTATTTCAGCATAATTTCTCATAGATCCGTGTGTGATTCGGCAGACATTCAGAAGTGTCTCGTATTGGCATGACTGTTATGATTCGCAGAAACGAACAGCAAACGCAGTCCAGAGTTTCGCCCTTTTTATACTAAAATCGTACGAGCTGCTGTTCATATAAAACACAAAAGTCTTTCCTTAATGCATAAAAGAGGTTTTGGTGCAAACAGAGACGTCCGTGTGTGTTTGATCTCTTGAGTTCCTCCGTGTGTAAGTGCGAGTCGTTGAATTATTCCTGCGCTCGTTTTGCTCGAGTCATTCGTAGTCCGGTTTTCTCTCGCACACGCTGCGTTCTGATTGGCTGAGAGAACGGCATCATAGGCTGGATTCTTTAGGGGGGAAGTCCAGGTTGGTAACCATGGTGACGACGGAGAGGATGTCGTCGGGGGCGATGAGGTTGGTGTTGCGCTGCATTGAGATGATGCGCTCCTCCACGCATCCCGCAGACAGACGCGCCTCGGCCTCGTGGTCCCAACACTCCTCTATGGTCTCAAAGAGCATCGCCAGACCCTACAGATATACAGATAAAAAAAACGTTTCAGAGCTGTCCATGTGGTGTGTGCCTCTTTTTCTGAAGCTACATCAACAAAACTTGAACATCATGCATCTTCAAGCATCTTGAGCTTTAAGTAAGAAAATCTGATCAACTCATAAATCAATCTTAAATGGTTCAGATCAGACTGAAATGATCAGAGATTTTGTTTCTAACAGCACAAGCGTTCACACTCTTTGCTTTGATTATTTCTGCTGGTGTTCAGACTGTTTGATTTGGAAGCTTGTGTCAGACACGGGATAAAAATAAAGCGGATTGTGACTGATTTTATATCTCGCAAGTCTGACTTTTTTCTCACGAGTCTAAAGAAACTTCGGAGGAAAAAAAGTCAGAATTGTGAGATATAAACTGATAATTCTGTTTTTATTTCCCCTTTCAATTCTGAGTTTATCTCTCACAATATCAGGCTTTTTTTTCCAGAATTGCGAGATTATTCTGGAATTATTCTGGAATTTATGGCTGAAACAAAAAACAGAATTGTGAGAAAAAAGCAAAAATTGTGAGCTATAAACTCAGAAATGCAAGGTTTAACTCGGAATTGCAAGAAAACCTCAGAATTTATATCACGTCTGACTTTCTTCTCTGAATTGCAAAATAAAAAGTCTGAATTCTAATACATAAAAATAAATCCATATTGTGAGATAAAAAGTTGCAATTACCTTTTTAAAAATTTTCAAGCTTCTATAGTTTGACATGGAGACTCGGTGGCCCAAGTTTCTCAACACTAAATCTCTGTTAACATGTTAATGCACTGATGTTAATCTAGTTCACATCAGAAAGTTGATGTAGAGAACGAGTCGTTTCTGCAGTGTAGGGTCAAAATGACTTGCTGGATTATTCCTCATAAAAAGCCACCAAAAGATAAATATGAACAAAAACCCAATGTCTCAGGTGCAGTTTGATGAATATGGAGGCTCATTTTGCATATGATGTGTCACTATTTTGGAAAATTGTGTTGCAAGAATACAGTTGCATGAGTGGTAAACTGTCCGAATTGATCCACCATATGTCAGACGCTAATATTGGACCCTGGTTTCTGTGATTTAGTGAAGCGAGCGTTGATTCCTCATGAAACGACCCCTTTAGAAAGGCTGCGATGAAATGAAGCAGAAATGCGAACGGCAGAAACGCTAGCGTGTGTTACAGCTACTCGTCTCGCCTCCGTAGCAGCTGTTCAGAAAAAAGCACGAGAAATCAAAATGAGGTATACCTGTTCAGGGAGGTTCATGGTTATTTCAGCATACATCCGTGTCTCGTATTGGCATGACTATAATGACTTGCAGAAAAGAAACAGCAAACGCAGTCCAGAGTTTCGCCCTTTTTATACTAAAATCATATGAGCTGCTGTTCATATAAAACACAAAAGTCTTTCCTTTATGCATAAAAGAGGTTTTGGTGCAAACAGAGACGTCCGTGTGTGTTTGATCTCTTGAGTTCCTCCGTGTGTAAGTGCGAGTCGTTGAATTATTCCTGCGCTCGTTTTGCTCGAGTCATTCGTAGTCCGGTTTTCTCTCGCACACGCTGCGTTCTGATTGGCTGAGAGAACGGCATCATAGGCTGGATTCTTTAGGGGGGAAGTCCAGGTTGGTAACCATGGTGACGACGGAGAGGATGTCGTCGGGGGCGATGAGGTTGGTGTTGCGCTGCATTGAGATGATGCGCTCCTCCACGCATCCCGCAGACAGACGCGCCTCGGCCTCGTGGTCCCAACACTCCTCTATGGTCTCAAAGAGCATCGCCAGACCCTACAGATATACAGATAAAAAAAACGTTTCAGAGCTGTCCATGTGGTGTGTGCCTCTTTTTCTGAAGCTACATCAACAAAACTTGAACATCATGCATCTTCAAGCATCAAGCTTTAAGTAAGAAAATCTGATCAACAGTACAAAGGGTCACATGACCAAATCACTAATTAGCTTAAAAATTAGTCATCTGGAAATATGGAATCTGTAATTTGGATGTATTCTTATATGTGACCCTGGACCACAAAACCAGTCTTAAGTGTCAATTTTTTAAAATTGAGATTTATGCATCATCTGAAAGCTGAATAAATATCTTTCCATTGATGTATGGTTTGTTAGGATCGGACAATATTTGGCTGAGATACAACTATTTGAAAATCTGGAATCTGAGGGTGCAAAAAAATCTAAATA